GTGAATTTGATAACGGAAGAAGAATGATGAATGCAGCTTTGATGGGATATATAGAAGAAGAATGATGAATGCACCATTACAGCTCAGGCCACTTGTGCATTCATCATCGTTTGAACATCAACAAAAATTATCTCTAGCCGGCCAGTATGCGTGTGCATACATAACATGAGTGGATGACCAACAAACAAAGCTACAAATAAACTACCACTCCCTGCATCAAGGAAAGGCAGCATTGTGCGTCATGAGGATGTAGAATCTTCTCCTAGGTCCTCGAAAAAAACCCCTGCTCCTAGGTACTAGGGAAGGTTAACTAGGGTACCATTATATCATTCTTTGCACTGAGATCACTGGATCTTGCTCATCCACAAGGGAAATTTCATCGGAATGGCTAGCGCCCGGACGTGTCCGGACGGTAGCCCCCTGTCCGGACGCCCGCGCCTACCCGCCTCGTGCACAAGCTGTTGCACCTGCTCATGCCTGCTGCGTCTACCCACCCGCCCCACGCCTGCTGCTGCGCCTACCGGACGTCCACGACTCCGTGCGCACATCGGCCGAGCCCGCCCCCACACCTACCCAACGTCCGTGACTCCGCGCACTCGTAGGCGAGCTCGAACTACGACTGGAGATGGAGGGAAGGGAAGGGAGGGGAGGGAGAGGAGAGGAAATGGCGAGGCGCGCCATGCGAGGAAGGCGCGAGGTTGGAGGTGAAGCCCTACAGCAGGCAGTCATCCGCCAGCCACCGGCGCCATTGCAGCATGTGCAACACCCGATCTACTTTTGAAACATCCATATAAAACATCTGCAACATACATATGAAGACAGATGAAACACTTGAAACATGCGTATATAGCCATTTGCAACATGTGCAACACCAAGATCTACTTTTGAAACATCTAGATAAAACATTTGCAACATAGTCTAAAACACCTAAAACACTTAAAACATAGGCTTGCAACATACGTATTTTGTCATTGCGCAATATATGCAACATCTAGATCTAATTTTGCAACATCTAGATGAAACACTTCAAACAAAAGTCTAAAAACCTCTGAAACACTTGAAAACATACACATGCAACATGCGTATATTGTCATTGCAACATATGCAACATCTCAGATATACTTTTGCAACATCTAGACCAAACAATTGAAACACAGTGTTGTCGACGGCCACGGCCGAACTGGTGGTGAACTACTGCAGCCAGCAAGCTTGGGTCAGGGAGACGTCGGCCCAGCGTACACTTCTGTTGCAGGACATCAGCCCGTCGCTCCTCATGCGATTGTCCCACACCTGCTCGCTGCCCAGGCTCGCTCTCGTCGGCATGACTTCTCTACCGTCGCCGCTCCTCGGCTGCAATCGTCCTGCCTCGTCCGCTCGCTGGAGATGGGACGCGGCGCGGCCAGCGATGGGGTGTGGTGCAGTGGGGGAGGGCACGGCGCGGCAGGGATCGGGGCAAGGCGGGGGAAGGGGGCACGGTGTGGGCAGAGTGGGGCGGGGCGTATGCACGGTGACGCTACGACACCAACGCGAGTGAGGAGTGGGGAATTTTCATGAGGTGGAAGAGACATAGAGGTGCTGTTAGGCCTGTACGGTGGGCAGGCCCACACTACTATAGAAAGACTTATGCGAGGCGTTTGACAAAGGGGCTCGGAGGCGGGCAGGCATTTTAACCGCCTCGGTTAATGCCTGGGATTAACCGAGGCAGTTATTTTTATTAACCGAGGCAGTTACAATCAACCGCCTCGCAAAATCGATTTACAGAGTCAGTTAAAAAAATAACCACCTCCTAAAATATATTAATGGAGGCAGGCATTATAAAGAGGCCCGCCTGAGAAAATAGGGCCATTTTCGGAGGCGGGCCTGGCCAAGCCCACTCTGATTTAGAAAAGCCCATCTCGGCCCGATTAATTGCTCCAAGTATATATAGGAGACTTTAGGGTTCACTCACTCATCCTCTCCTCCCTCTCCACACCGAGCAGCGCCTCCCTCTCCCCCTCTCTCACACTGGATCCTCTCCCTCTCCCCACAACAGCAGCGCCCAAGACTGACCCTCCCGAGCCCGGCGTCCTCCGCTCGCTATCCCTTCCCCATCCCGACCCCCTCTCCCCTCCGCATCCCGACCTCTCCCCTTCCCCTACTAGCAGCGCCCCCTCCCCATCCCGCCGCCCTCTCCCCTTCCCTTCCCAGCGGCGTCCCCTCCCCATCCCGCCGCCCCTCCCCTCCCCTCCCCTCCCCTCCTCCCTCTGGCGCGAACCCAAGGCAGGGATCCAGTGGAGGTAGTGGCCCTCCTCCCTCCGGATTCGAGGCGGGAGATCAGGTGGCTCATGGCGGCGGCGGCGTGGCCCTCCTCCCTCCGGATCCAGTGGTGGCGCGTCGTCTTTCCCGGAGCAACGGCGGCGGCGGATCCAACGAGCCCGAGGCAGAGCGGATCCGGTGAGCCCGAGGCACATTGAGCTGCTCTGGGGGTGGATCGAGGTCGGCGACGCCCGCCGGCAGTGGATCCAGTGTGGGCCCATCCTCCGGCGGCGGATCTAGGCGGTGGCATCCCTCGGCTGTGGATCGAGGTCGAGCGCGACCGGGTCTAGCGACGGCGACGGCGACGGCGACGGCGACGACGCACAGATCTGGCTAGCTGCAGCGGCAGCGGCGGCCTGTGGATGGGCTCGCTAGGCTTGTCCACGGGTTTTCTTTTTTTGTTTTTTCATTTGATTTACCGAGGCGGCGCCTCGATTAAGATTTATTTACTATGACGTTTCGACCGAGGCGGTTGCAATGCCCGCCTCGGTTAATCGTTTCTGCCGGCTCGGTTAAGTTTTTAGTAGTAGTGTCAGGAAGGCAAGTTTCATGACAGGACGGACAACCGTGTTCAAGCATTTCCGAAATTTCATCGGTTCGGCATATATCAAATGACACACAATGACACAAGGCAAGGTGAGATGGGGAACAAGAGGGAAGGTACCTAAAAATGAGAAACTGATGCGCTCGCCCGTGGATTTGTGAGTTGCCATCACCATGCATTTGCTTGTGTTACCGCAGATTAGGTCGCCTTCGCCGTGGATTTGCTTTTCGCTGAGTCGCGCACCGTAGCAGCTGACGTCGACGTGCTTGTGCGTGTCGTGGATGTCATTCGGAGCCGCCACCGATGCGCCTGCCCATTCGTTGATTTGCCTCTAGATCGGTAGGCCGCCGCCACCAAGTTGCGGCGGTTTCTCAGACACAGCCACCAACCAGAGAGGAGTCGAGCAGGCCGACATTATTTGGGCCATGTTTAGTTCGGCCGATTCGGCGCCGTCAAAGCTACGGTAGCATTTTATTTTTATTTGGTAATAATTGTTCAATCGTTGACTAATTAGGCTCAAAATGTTTATCTCGTAAAGTACAACCAAACTGTGCAATTAGTTTTTGATTTTGTCAACATCTAGTACTCCATGCATGTACCGCAAGTTTGATGCGACAGAGAATCTTATTTTTGCATAGTGTTAAAGTTGGGATTTTTGTGTAACTAAACATGGCCTTGTTGTATTATTTCTCGGGCCTCATAGGAAACAGGTTTCTTCCGATGGTTTTGATCCAATACGGGAGTAACTTCAGTGGGCTAACCATTCATCTAAAGAATATTTTGGAGTGTGGACTGTAAAAAAAATATGGGCATGTAAATTACAACGGTAATGTTGCTTATAGGTCACGGACCGTATAAGTTGCCTGCTCCCTTTGCACCCCCGCCCGCCCGCGTCGCCAACTCGCTTAGTGCGCTGCGCGCCTCTCCTCCAGGACGGGCCCCGCCCACGCCCCCGTCGCCCGCCCACTCGCGCCTCTTGTGGCAGCCGCGCTCCATCCGTCTGTCCCTACCCCAGACGAGAACCATGCCGTTGACGAGCTCCACATCGGTGACCTCTGCGCCACTTCGGCAGCATCGAGCTCCACGTCGACGAGCCTCCATTACTCCGAGCAGCAAGCAGATGCTATGCTGAAAGTGCATGTTGCATTAGTATATTTCAAGTGTTTCAGATATATGTTGTAAGTTTTGTATATCGATGTTGTAAAAGTAGATTGAGATGTTGCACATATTGTAATGGCTACACGTATGTATCAAATGTTTTATCTGTTCCAGACTAATGTAGCAAATGTTTTATCTGGATGTTGTAAAAGTAGATCTGGATGTTGTATATACATGGATGTTGCAATCATATGTTTTAAGTGTTTCCATGTGTTTCATACGTATGTTTACAAGTGTTTCATCTAGATGTTGTATATGTTTGCAATGGTTTTCAAAATTTTTCAGACGTTTTCGCAAGTGTTTCAAACGCTTGTTTCAAGTGTTTCAATTGTCTTCTTTTTGTCTGAAAGTTTCAAAAGTAGATCGGGTGTTGCACATGGAATACGTGTAGAAAGTGGCCGGCGGCACGGACAACGTTCGGGGCGGCGTGGGCGACGTTCGAGGCAGCGCGGGTCCACTGCTAGTGCGCTATGCACTGTGCACTCATTTGCTCCTCTGGATTTACAATGGTGTTGCCCCTAAAACCATGTTTCCAAATTGGGCCAAGAGAAATCCCGGCTGATCTTGATGAGATCATTTTTGGGAGATTTGGGAGGAAATTGAAACTTGAGCAGGGAGGTAAAAAAATAAACTAATTTTTTCTTGCAATTTTTTTTTAAAAAAAAAACTTTTTGCTTGCAATCTACGATGGATTTTTTTTTAGCACTAGCAATCTACGACGAATTGGGCGGGACTTTTTCAGTGCGGAAGGAAACAATCTGAGGGCCTGTTTGGAACCAATCCCCTCCGCTCCGCCGCCCGCACCCAATCCCCTTCCCTCCCCTTCAGCCACTCGCCAGCAGCGCGGCCACGCCCTCCGCCGTTCTTCCTCTGCGCCCCGGTCCTCGCCCACACCCGCTTCCGGCGGCCACGCCCTCCGCTTCTCCGTACTTGCTGCTCGCCGCGCCCACCACCCTCATTCTCCGCCAGCGATTGTAATCTGTGCGGGGTACACTCGCCGACGATGGCTCTAACCCTCCTCCGAGGGATGAGGACGCCAGTCTCGTCCAGCTCAAACCCCGGCCTCTTCTTCACTGTTCTACGGCCTCGGTTGTCCCGTTTCACGGCTAGGGCGGAGAGTGCGCAGGCCACCGAGCCCAAAGAGGTTCCCAGGTCAATTCAGCTGGCGACCAAGGAGGCGGCTGAGCAGAAGACACAGGGCTTCGAAGCCATCATCGGGATTGAGACCCATGTCCAGCTCTCGACCGTCACCAAGGCGTTCTGCTCCTGCCCGTACAACTACGGTGCCCAGCCCAGCAGCACCGTCTGCCCCACCTGCATGGGCCACCCGGGGACGCTGCCGGTTCTGAATGAGAAGGTGGTCGAGTGCGCCGTGAAGCTGGGACTCGCCCTCAACTGCGAGATCTCGATGACGTCCAAGTTTGATCGCAAGCAGTATTTCTACCCGGACCTCCCCAAGGGGTACCAGATTTCGCAGTTTGACATCCCCATTGCCAAGAAGGGTTATGTCGATTTCGACCTTATGGTGGAGTTTGGTGGTGGGCATAGGAAGTTTGGGATCACAAGGGTTCACATGGAAGAAGATGCAGGCAAGCTGCTTCATTCTGAATCCAGCAGTTGCTCTCAGGTTTTCCTTGTCTCTGACTAATTGCCTAATTTCTGTTAGCAACATTCTGATCAGGTTGTCATATCCGTCTGGCATAACTTTGAAACCACAGCATTAGTTTTGACATTTACCACAGTGCATTAGAAAACTTATAGATTAGTGAATAAAACCACAGACAAATATTGAAGATTGGATATCAGGGAGCATTTGGATCTCAGACCAGGGGAATTCTAGCTTTATTGTGAAAGGATTGAAGTTTTGTAGGATACGAAAGACTTGGATTTTGGGGCAATCTGATCTGCAACCACCTGCAAAAGCTTGCTCTGTGAAGGGAGCGAAGTCTGCCACCAAAATAAAAGTAGCACTGCGGTGAAAAAAAAAATCTGACAACTGCTATCATAATATGGCCAAACAATAATCCTTGCTTTTGCTGGTTGTAGAACAGATGGGCTAGCTGTGTATAGCTTCAACAGTCCCATCTTCCTGGTGACAGTAACTATTTCAAAATTTTAATCCTCTGGCTATAAATGTATGCGGTAGGCTCACACAAGAAATTGCAATTTGTGTAAGTATGATATATGGAACGCCGTACAATGATACAGATAGTAAACCATAAGCACTGCTCTAATATTGACAGGGAAAATCCAGAGGGAATGAAAAGAATTACACAGCGTCTCATCACTTAAAGTACAGCAACTTCAGTTATTGATCAGTGGTTGCTACTTTGGCTGGTTAGGTTGACCTAAACAGGGCTGGCGTACCTTTGCTCGAAATTGTCTCAGAGCCAGGCATGAGAACAGGGATAGAGGCTGCTGAGTATGGTGCTGAGCTGCAAAGGATTGTTAGGTACCTGGGAATGAGTAATGGTAATATGCAAGAAGGTTCCCTTCGTTGTGATGTGAATGTTTCTGTTCGACCAGTTGGACAATCAGAATTTGGTACAAAGGTGATTCTCATATCTTTAGGACTTCCGATAACTGTTTGTTATTCTGTTTTTCTTTTGTGTCTGTGTTGGCAAATTTTGCTCTTAGTGTTATTATTTTATGATTCATTGGTTAACCAACTTTTTTCGAAAACCTCATTGGTTAACCAACTTAATACAGGCCAAATAAATAACTTCTGTTCTCAGTGAGGGCTAAATTGTCCTGAAAATTTTACCATGCTTTAAATGATGCCTTGAATTTTCAATCCATGTGGTGGCTGGGGGAAATATCTTGTTGTATGCTGATTATATTTGATAGTATACATAATTGCAGTTGCTTATGTAGCTGTTCAGTGAAATCCATGTACCTAAATTGCTAGTTATACCCAAAACATGCATAATTGCAGTTCATTAGCTTCTTGCCTGCTTAGTTATTCATGCCCCATTATTTAAGGGAAAATAAGGTAATTCATGTTCACTTGCATATCAACCATTATTTTCTAGAAATGGTGTCACGCTCTTATTTCAATTCCTTCAGGTGGAAATAAAGAACATGAGCTCATTTTCTGCGATAAATAGGGCAATCGATTATGAGATCACCCGGCAGATTCTGCTCCATAAAGAAGGCCAAGCTGATCAAATTGTACAAGAAACCCGCCTGTGGGATGAATCTTCTCAGGTTGTTGTCCCCAACTCTAACCCTTTTTTGTGCTGGCTTTTTACTGCCAAGTACTAATTACTTTCTCTATCTACATCATCAGAAAACTTTTACAATGCGAAAAAAGGAGGGACTTGCTGACTATAGATATTTTCCAGAACCTGATCTTCCTGAAGTAGTTCTCACTAGTGACTACATTAATGAAATCAGCAAGTCAATGCCGGAGCTTCCAGAAGCAAAGCGTAGGCGTTATGAGAATATGGGACTCAGCATGCAAGATGTTCTGTTCCTTGCTAATGATGATAATGTAAGATTCCATCTTCTGTGTTTGTGTAGGTTCACAGGCATGTGTGTCCACAGATTTTTCAGAAGTTCCTCATTCATGGTCTGATCTTTAACTGGCTATACAATTGGCAAATTCCATTTCATCAGGCTTGGTAGAGGTTCACATATTTGCCATGGGGGCCTTCTTGTAGTACATAGGAATTATTTTTTGCTAGACAAGGCAATGCATTTGCTTGGATTGCAAGGTGATACCAGGGGAGTGTGTTGTTTCTCAACATAAGCTTTTGGTGGCAGATTTTCGTTTTTAGGTGCGTGGCCGTAGGGATAAACAAGCTAAGATTCAAAGAACAAAGTGGTGGAAACTGAAAGGGGAGACGTCAGAGGTATTCAGGGAAAGGGTTATCAAAGAGGGCTCTTGGAAGGAAGAAGACGACATAAACAACATGTGGAAGAAGATGGCAACCAACATTCGGAAGGTGGCCTCAGAGGTGTGTGGAGTAACCAAAGAAAGTGGAGGCGAGGCTAAAGATACTTGGTGGTGGAACGAGAAAGTCCAAAGGGCTATTAAGGAGAAGAAAGAATGCTATAGACGCTTGTACCATGATAGGAGTGTGGACAACATAGAGAAGTACAAGGTGGCAAAAAAGACTGCAAAGCGAGCTGTAAGTGTGGCAAATGGTAGAGCGTATGAGAATCTTTACCAACATTTGAGTACGAAGGAAGGAGAAAAGGACATTTATAGGATGGCTAGGGTTCGTGAGAGAAAGACACGGGACTTCAACCAAGTTAAGTGCATTAAGGATGAAAGGGAGCATCTTTTGGTGAAGGAGGATGAGATCCGACATCGATGGCAAGAGTATTTTAACAAATTGTTCAATGGTGAGAATATGGACACAACCTTTCAGTTGGATGACTCTTTTGATGACACCAATAGGCGCTTTGTGCGGAGAATCCAAGAATCTGAGGTCAGAGAGGCGTTGAAAAGGATGAAAGGAGGTAAGGCGATGGGACCAGATGGTATCCCAAACGAGGTGTGGAGATGCCTCGGGGACATAGTTATAGTATGGCTAACCAAGCTGTTCAACCATATTTTTCGATCGAACAAGATGTCTGATGAGTGGAGGAGAAGTATATTGGTACCGATTTACAAGAATAAAGGGGATATTCAAAGTTGTACTAATTATCGGGAAATTAAGTTGATGAGTCATACTATGAAGCTATGGGAGAGAATTATCGAGCATCGCTTGAGAGCAATAACGCGGGTCTCTGTGAACCAATTTGGTTTCATGCCCGGAAGGTCAACCATGGAAGCCATTTTCTTAATAAGACAAGTTATGGAGCGGTATAGGGAGAAGAAGAAGGACATACACATGGTTTTTATTGACTTGGAGAAGGCTTATGATAAAATACCAAGGAATGTTATGTGGTGGGCTTTGGACAAACATAGAGTCCCAACGAAGTACGTCAGGCTCATTAAGGACATGTACAACAATGTTGTGACTAGAGTTCGAACAAGTGATGGAGACACGGATGACTTCCGATTAGGATAGGACTACATCAAGGGTCAGCTTTGAGCCCTTATTTGTTTGCTTTAGTGATGGATGAGGTCACAAGGGACATACAAGGGACATCCTTGGTGTATGCTTTTCATGACGATGTAGTGCTAGTTGATGAAAGCCGGACAGAGTGAATCGTAAACCGGAGTTATGGCGGAGACTTTGGAGTCCAAAGGTTTTAGACTCAATGAACTAAAACTCGAGTATATGAGATGTGACTTCGGCATTACTACTCGGGAGGAGGAAGATGTTAGTTTGGAAGGTCAAGTAGTGCCTAGGAAGGATACCTTTCGATATTTAGGATCAATGCTACAGAGGGACGGGGACATTGATGATGTTAGCCATAGAATCAAAGCAGGGTGGATGAAGTGGCGGCAAGCGTCTGGTGTCCTGTGTGACAAAAGGGTACCACAGAAGCTAAAAGGCAAGTTTTATAGGACGGCGATTAGACCTGCTATGTTGTATGGTGCGTAATGTTGGTCTCTGAAAAAGACGACATGTTCAACGAATAAAGTGTCGCGGAAATGCGTATGTTGCGTTGGATTTGCGGTCATACAAGAAGGGATCGAGTTCGGAACGGTGATATACGTGATAGATTAGGGGTAGCGCCAATTGAAGAAAAGCTTGTCCAACACCGGTTGAGATGGTTTGGACATGTGCAACGGAGACCTCTAGAGGCACCGGTGCGTAGTAGAATCCTAAGCCAGGATAGTAACGTGAAGAGAGGCAGAGGAAGACCGAAGTTGACTTGGGTAGAGGCATTAAAATGAGACTTGAAATGATGGAATATACTCAAAGACTTAGCCTTAGATAGGAGTGCTTGGAAGACAGCTATTCACGTGCCTGAACCTTGATTGCTTCTGATGGCTTTCAACTCTAGCCTACCCCAACTTGTTTGGGACTTAAAGGCTTTGTTGTTGTTGTTGTTGTTGTTGTTGTTGTTGTTGTTGTTGTTGTAAGGCAATGCATTCTCTCTATTGTTCACAATAACTTCAGTAATCTGATGGGTCTATATCTTCCCAGATTGGTCATTTCTTTGATTCTACTCTTGAGCATGGTGCTGATGCAAAGCTGGCTGCCAACTGGATCATGGGTGACATTGCTGCTTATCTCAAAGATGAAAAAGTATCCATTGATTAAATTAAATTAACACCTCTAGAGCTGTCTGAACTGATAGCATCCATTAAGAATGGAACTATAAGTGGGAAGATCGGGAAGGAGGTAACATTGCTAAACTGGGTTTCCCCCCTTGATTGTTTTTCGGCTCTATGTTTCGGCAGTCTATAGGGTCTACACATTTCTAGGCTTTGCACCCTGATTGATGCTAATGCCTCTCTAAATCTGTCCTTGCAGATACTGGCCGAGCTCATTGCCAAAGGCGGAACCGTTAAGGCTGTGATAGAAGAGAAAGATTTGGTTCAGGTAACTGTGCTCACATTTGTTACTATTTGGAACCATAGTAGTTCAAGCATCTAAAAAATAGTGACCCCTGCCACCAGCACCAGTGTGAAGTATTCCACGAATATACTTAACATCCTTCGGCATTGCCAACACATGTTTTTTTTTCTTTGGGTATTCCTGGTAAGCAGATGCTCAAAAATTGGGACAATATTGACATGCCCTCTTTATTTCATCAGTGTTTGTAGTTTGTAATTTGCATCTTATACTTTCATGAGTACTAGGCATTGTTGTGCTCTCAGTTGATGTAATTTCATTATTTAAACTTCTGGTTGGGTTATCTGAAAGGCAAAAAAATTATTACTTGAAATGACAGATAGCAGATCCAGCAGCAATCGAGGCAATGGTAGATAAAGTAATTGCTGATAATCCAAAGCAACTTGAGCAGTACCGTGCTGGAAAAACTAAGCTACAAGGATTTTTTGCTGGCCAGGTTTGTCAATTGAACACGAGCACTGTTTTTCCCTGCTGCTACGAGGTCTTATAGGTGATCATATTTGTTTCAATTGTTTCTAGGTGATGAAAGTATCGAAGGGCAAGGCCAACCCAGTTTTGTTGAATAAAATCCTTGGAGAGAAGTTGAATGTCAATTAGTTATTATTGCCCCCATACTGAAAATCTCGAGGAGTCCATGAAGAATGCTACCTCAAATGAAGTTCCCATGTTCGCTTCTCTTATAATTCGTCTTTTTCGGCTTGTTTTTTCAGACGGAACGGTGTTTTTCTCTCACGACAAATCAGCTGAAACAGTGTTTCGGCTTGTTTTTTCAGCGAAACGAACGGGACCGGCTAGACAATCGTTTGGAAGCTGTTACCTTCACTCCATTGAATTGAGAATGTGATTAATGTGAATGATGTAGAAGTTTTGTTCACGGATATCATTGTACTTAGCTGATACATTGAAATGGCGTGAATCCAATCCTCCCAAAACATTTGTGCAATTTCTGCGTATTTTGTACCAGGCATGACTGCCTCCACTGCTTGTATATATAATTTTTCTCTGCAACATAAAATTTATAACAATTTTGGTTGAACCCAAAAGGTATTGAACAGCAGCATGACCTGACCTCTAAGATATTATACTAGCAGCTGACCGCACCATAAGGCAACAAAAAAACCTGTGGACCACAGTGAGATACTGCCCAGAGAATCAGAGGACTGCTCAAATACTGGGTCGAATAAAGACAAAATACTTAAAAATAGTCAATCACTCCTCAAATATACTGGGTTAAGTATGACAAAACGCTTAGACAGTCAATCATGTAAATAAAAAGCAACTACCAAGCAATTATTGTAAAAACAAAATTTACACAGGACAACCTACATAACCGCATAACAACAGACAATCATCACAGCTAAGCTGCGGCAACTATTTCAAACTATATTTACATTTTACAACACCAGAACAGTCCTGTTAGTGCAGACAATGAGAGGATGGCCCTGACTAATCCTCATTGTCGTAGTCCTCGTCTTCATCAACCTGCACTGTCAGATGTCCAAAACCAGATGGCCCGACACCGATGTTTCCGATGGCATCTGGCATAGGCCAATCTGACTGATGATCGGTGTTCGCTTCTTCCACCTTAGAACTTGTAGCTTGTGCAGGGGCTGTTGGTGGAGCCTCTACCGGAGGTTGCGTGCTTTGAGGCATGATCGCATTGCCATTATTGATCTCTGGAACTGTTTCCTCTCCTGGTAAGGGTTCACTTTGTTCAGCAAACATGCTGCTCTCATCTTCAAATTGTACATAACCAACTTCCTTTCTCTTTGTTGGTGGCCGACCTCGCCCTCTGCCTCGACCCCTCCCACGTCCTCTGGGGCTGATGTTTGCATTTCTTATGGCCTGAAAAACCAGATGTTCTATTATCAAATATCCATTTATATAACGTTATCAATCAAGTGAGCTGTGATGGCTGATGTACGCACCATTTTACTAGATCTTGATTCATCATTCTCTGGGTCACTGCCATTTGACTTTCTGAAAAGTGAATTTCAAACACTGTTAGGTACTTGATACAATTGAATCATAAAATGCTGATTACAACACCTGAACTTACCTTCTTCTAGGTAATCCTCTTTCATCTCCACAGGAATCAGCGCCACCAAGATCTGGTACCTTGTTGACAACTTCAGTTAGGAAATCAAAAGAACTGTACCTCTTCACACATTGCTTCCTGAACATCAGATGTCAGAAGATAGATATATGAATGTTAATATTAATGGCTCAAAATTGATACTCCATGCAAACAATACTAAGACACTTGCATTGAAACTATCAGTGTCGGTGTTTTCGGACCACCGACGAATAAATTTATATTTGCGCGTCTGGCTCGGATGGTGTGCTCGGAGGACACAAGGGTTTATACTGGTTCGGGCGGAACGTCTCTACGTCCAGTTCGCTGCTGCTCGTGTTACCGGCACTTGGTTTGTAGTAGGGGTTAAAACAGGCGAGAGAGGGAGAGGATCTCAAGTCTCTGATGGAAGGAGTAAACGGGTGCTGAGAGCTCGCTTATAGCACAGCCGTATGCTCCTGTCGTGCTCTTGTGTTTTTATCTCGTGGTTCAGTCTTGTGCAGATCTGGATCCCCCTTCATGGGGCGCCCTGCTTCCCCTTTTATAGGCGAAGGGAAAGCGTAGGTTACAGCGGAGGAAAAGGAGAACGAGAGAGAAGAAGGCTTCCAGGATTGCAGGGTCCTTCTCCTTCATGCGGGTCCCGCCGATCCTGTAGATGTCAACAGGGACGGCTCCACGTCGCCGATCCTGTAGATGTCAACAGGGACGACTAGCCTCCTCCCTCGCATCGCCGCGGGTACGCCTGCGGGCGTCGAGGGTGTCGCCCGCGTCACGGTGGAGGCCGAGACGTTCATGCACCGGGACCGCGTCGCGCGGCCTGCCGCCTTGCTGCGCCTCGTGGACTGACACGTCCCTGTCTAGTCGCTCTAAGGGCGCGCGCTGGCTGGCGCCGAGCTCACGTCGTCGGGATAGCGAGCTCTCGGGCTGCAGCGCCGCCGCACCCTCGAGTAGCGTCGAATCTCGCGATGGGCCCGACGATCCTCGGTCGTCGCGGGCCCCGGAAGCCCCCGGAGCAAGGCCGCCACAGCAGCGATGTTCTGGCTTGCCCGGGTGAAGTGTGGGAGGGCTTCGTCGTCCTCGATGATCCTCTGGTTTCACGTCGCGGGCCACGGCGCGCGCGCGCCCACTGTCTCCGTGGCGCTCGATCTCTCGTTCGAGCTCCGCGCGCTCCTGCTCGAGCTGGAGTCGTGCTTCCTCGAGCTCTTGGTGACAGGCCTTCAGCTGCTCTACTCGCAGGCGAGGTGGGGCCCCTGCATCCCCCTCGACCTCGTCGTCGAGGTCATTTGTTGGGGTAGCCTCTCCCTCGTGGATGCTTTCGACGTATCCCTCGGGGGTACCTGCCATGAAACATTCACGTGAGGGGTGATGGCTCCCCCTGCTGAAGTCAGAGTCATAGAGCGATTTCGATTCTCCCGTGAGGTCATGGAAAGATTCCGCAACATATTCGGTCATCCCCACGAACTCGTCGTTCGTAGGGGGTGGGGGCGCGCGTTGCGCCACAAGGTGGCCAATGGTCTCGGCGGCGTTGCGCAGACCGAACGGGAGCGCTGTCGGAGCGCTCCGGATGAGGTATTCCGGAGAGAGCGGCTCTGCTCCGGCAAGCTGTGTCATGACGTTGGCGAACGAGAAGGTGAGACGGCCCAGGTCCTCCCGGGACGGCCGGAGTCCTAGGAAGGCGCCGAGCTGGCGCTCTAACCTCTCGTAATCGAAGCCAAGAAGCTCGTCGCTCCCGGGGGCGCGGGCGTCCGGTGTGTGCAGCTGCAGCTCCTCAAGCGCCTCGGCGATCGCGTCGAGGCCGGCGGAGTGGAGAGGTTGGACGGCGGCGGGAACTTGCGCCAACTCTCCCTCCGTCGAAATGAAGTCCAGGTTCCCGAAGCGCACGTGCGCGCCCAGGACCCAGCCGACACCGTGACTAGCCATCCGAGACCTGATGTGGACGTCGACACGCGCAAAAGGCCCCTACCTGGCGTGCCAACTGTCGGTGTTTTCGGACCACCGACAAGTAAATTTGTATTTGCGCGTCTGGCTCGGATGGTGTGCTCGGAGGACACAAGGGTTTATACTGGTTCGGGCGGAACGTCCCTACGTCCAGTTCGCTGCTGCTCGTGTTACCGGCACTTGGTTTGCAGTAGGGGTTACAAATAGGCGAGAGAGAGAGGATCCCAAGTCTCTGATGGAAGGAGTGAACGGTTGCTGAGAGCTCGCTTGCCGCTCAGCCGTGTGCTCGTGTCGTGCTCTTGTGTTTTTATCTCGTGGTTCGGTCTCGTGCGGATCTAGATCCCCCTTCATGGCGCCCTGCTTCCCCTTTTATAGGCGAAGAGAAACCGCGGGTTACTGCGGAGGAAAAGGAGAAGAACGAGAGAGAAGAAGGCTTCCAGGATCGCCGGGTCCTTCTCCTTCATGCGGGTCCCGCTGATCCTGTAGATGTCAACAGGGACGACTCCACGTCACGGCCCTATTCGTCACTGGCACCATGCGCAGGCGTCATCTGCCGGTCATAGCGTTCCATTCCGTCCCAGCGGACGTCGTGGTGAACTGACGCGCCTGTCAACGTTCGTATGAGGGTTAGGCAGAACAGCATCGGCACGCCCGACGCTGTTCTTGATGTGAATCCTCAGGTATGGCCCGTCATGGCCACGGGTTACATCGAGGCGTGCCAATCTCTTCCCTGGTGTCAGAGTTTTGACCCAGGCCCATACGCTTGGACCTGGAGTGGCTGGCGACGGTATGGGTCCCCGTCGGACGAGACGGAACCCTCGTCCTTGGGGTCAGGGGAGACGGAGCCCGCACCCGAGGGGTCGGGCGAGACGAAGCCCGCGGCCTCGAGGTCAGGCGAGACAGAGCCCGCGCCTAGGGGCCGGGCGAGACGGAGCCCGCGGCCTCGAGGTCGGACGAGACGGAGCCCGCGGCCTTGGGGTCGGCCGAGGCGAAGCCCGCGGCCTTGGGGTCGGATGAGACCTTTTAATACGTCTTGCCCCATCCGGGGAAGTCAGCGTGGGCTCTAACTTCCTTGCTTTGGGTATCCCTAATATCGATACCCGACAATCAACTAGCATTTTAACAAGAAAAAAATTTGGTCCATCTCCATAGAAATTAACCTCAATATAGCAACTCGCATTTAAACATGAAACTTAACTCCAAATAAATTAGACAAGCTCATATGCTAGATCTACATGAGCAGGATGGGATAACTATCTGCCCAGTTTCAGTTTGGAGGATATATAACCTCTACAAATCTCTTCTCTAGAAATGTTCATGAGCTCAAATTCCAGAAACCACACTAAAGGTTGTTAGAGTGGAAAGAAAAATACCAACTTCCAAATTGGTTACCAAAACCAACCTGCTTCCATATTTAAATTCGGATCTTAGGGACTGTTCAGTTGGCACCTGACCAAAGCTGCCTGGCACAAGCAGCGCTCCCAGGCTTCCGATTTCAGGTGCCTAGGGCTGGGATTGCTGTCTGGCAGGCATTGAACCAAACATGCCCTAGATGACTATTTTGAAGTTGAGACTTCTGCCAAAAGCAATCTGTTCATCACTTCCTCCAGAGGTGATGCAAAAACATTAGATGAGTCTAACTCGAGTAGAGTACCTTATTTACTTATATAGAAAACAGCTGGCCATAGTCAGGGACCAACCAGTTCTGAATCCCACCTACAGATATTACGAGTGTTAACTTAGATAACATCTTACCTTCTAACTAGTAAACCTTGTATCAATGAATCTACAACCAAAAGCCATATACAGTGCAATGGAATGTGCAGTAGTTGAGGGGCATGAGCTATCTAATGAATTCTGTTTCTGAACAACTTATCCAGCAACTTATTTTGATGCCTTAAGCAACACAAACAAGATGAATTCCAGATAAGATCATATCTGGGGCAGAGGGGGATCCCAGTTCCTCTGTCACACCCAAAAAAAAATTTAGCAAAAATGCATGCCAAAAATGATGGGACATATAAACACCACAGCTGATATTGTACATCAAAGTTCAAACATTCAAACATTGCAACTGCCAATTGGAAGCATCCAGATTTACTCTTGATAGACATGATAAATAAAGTCACTACATAATGATTTATCGGTGTATTTTATTAGACTAGTAGCTGAATCCGTCAAAGAGATCCATTAGTTCTAAAAGATACAGTACATCACCTAATCAAATTTATAATTTTATAAGAAAACAAAATGGCAGGTGATATTGAACTCACAGGTGGAAGGAATTCAGTGTCTTTGCTCCACTTTGAAGAGTAATTTCATAGGTCCGATCAATTAAATCTTGTAAAAACAATTCTAGAGCCCTCGCTGCACGCAAACAGAAACTCAAAATGTCAGAAATTTCATTTATGTATGCTTCATCACGGTTACATGTAGTAGTAGCAGGATATAGAAAACCGTGAATGAAAGTAATGATGCCCGCAAAGAAAAACTGAAAGTGTTGACCAAACAAACTTCTAAATTTATAAGGTGAATCTCTCTTTTGTATCATTAGTGTGGACTTGAAGCCAGTAAACCAGTTTACAAAGAGAGCCATTAGCCAGTCACAACCAGATGAATGGATGTCAAACGATGTGATAAAGATCATCCCTTTTTGCTTGTTTTATTCAAGTAGAAATACTAAATAATTGTGGGAAAACACAGATATGTACATAATGCATACAAAAGCACAACGATTCTTCCGGAACTTACAGACTAAAACAGGCACCGCTTGTGCAATCTTTCCAACATCCTCATCTGCTTGCATAATCTTTTTGATCCGAGCCTATTATAATACAGAACATAGTTAGGGGATAATTTCATGCCATTACAACTTATATATTTGAAAAATCATCTAGGAAAGATATCCCAACATAAGTACAGGAACCAAATACAAAACCCAAAACTTTGGGTAATCAGTACAGACATCAAATTATCTTTTCATGAAAAATAGAGCAAATGCTACAATCCAGAAATTGTCTTTTCAGCTAAGCCCTTGTTTAGTTGAGGGGAAAGTTGGAATTTGGCTACTGTAGCACTTTCGTTTTTATTTGGCAATTAGTGTTCAGTCATGGACTAATTAGGCTCAAAACGTTCGTCTCGCAATTTTCCACCAAACTGTGTAATTAGTTTTTTTTTTCATCTACATTTAATGCTCCATGCATGTATCGCAAGATTCAATGTGATGGATACTATAGCACTTTTTTGGAACTTTTTTTGCAACTAAACACGGCGTAAATACAACAAAATATGCACCTGCAGTGCAAACCATACAGGTGTGTGTAGCTTGGAACTTCAACTCACATTGGTTCCATGACAACAGAACAATATGACGTTTTGAAGATTCAAAACCAACCAGAAGGCATACAATAAATGCTGCAATCCACAAACAGCCGTGCTTCAGCGCTACACTAGCAGGTTATAATCTCAAGAAAGAAATGCTGGCATGTTCAGGAGACCTTGGAATAATCAAGCATGGTGGCAGAGCACCTGAGCCTACAGCAATACAACATCAGACTAGGCCGTGCCCAAGAATAGTTCCCTCACCAAACACATAGACCAACATAACAATGGAAGTTACTGTCGTTTCAAACTCTACTCCTACCAGACCATAATAAAACCCCATGATGAAGGCTACACACGAATTCCACTGCTAAATTACTCCTGCACCAGATCACATGTTGAGTATCCCAGCAATATACATGGGACCCACAGTACATGCTCACATGATCTGGAGATCTTGCAACCCAACCACAGGCACGACAGCAGGATCTAGCCCATCCCTTTGCATCTACCCGCCAGGCAAAGCGATTGAGGATAACCAGCGGCGCGTGGAGATCACATCAGGTTGTCCCGTTCATACGGACTAACACTCACCGAACGTCAACGGCACTGATCTAAGTCAGCTGCGAGCGCCCACAAAATCTCTCCATCCGCTCAAAACAACACGAGCGCAGAAGCTGGATTAGAAATTCTCGACGTCCTTTGTTGAGCACTGAGAATCCGAGATAGACCCCGAAAAAGTTAAAGGCAAAAAAATGAAAAAAAAAAGAAAACACGAATTACTTCCCCGCGCGAGCACAGGAGCCGATCTAATTCTGAGCCCGAGCCCGCCTCCACCCCACGGCGCCTTCCTCCCGCAGAACCCAGTCAAATCACCGCCCACGAAACAAAACAGCGAAGCCGCGGGTCAACGGCGGCCGGCGTCCACCGGATCCCGCCCGCGAGGGCGAAGATCCGCACCGCGCGCGGCGACCCAGATCAGATCAGATCACGCGCGCGGGCGGGCGCGGCGGATCAGAGGGAGAGACGATACGAGCAGGACGGGCGAGGGGAGCAACAACGTACCGCAGGGAACCGGGTGCCGAGCTTCTTCCTCATCTTCCCCTCCGCCTCCTCGCCGGCTCGACGGACGCTCGCTGTCGTAGTCTACTCCTCTTTTCTTCTTTTTTGCGCTTTTTTTTTCGGTGATGAAGGCTTGGGTTTCTTTTCTCGTTTGGCGTTACCGGCTTGTCCTGTTGTTCCACCACCAGGACGTGGCGAAAGTTTTTAAGAAATAATATTATAGCACTTTTATTATTATTTAGAAATTAATGTTTAATCATAATCTAATTAGACTTAAAAGATTCGTTTAAATTATATAATTAATTTTATTTTTTATTTATATTTAATATTTTATATATGTATTTAAAGATTCGATGTAATAAGAAATCTTGAAAAATTTTGAAAAATTTTAGAAACTAAACGGCATCAGGTCCATCACCAAAGTTGAACGCAAGCAGGACGGGCAGGAGGCAGGGGCAGCAGGCGCGCAGCAGTGCGACGTGACGGCGTCATCCGCCCCGAGGCGCACGTGCTCCCACCGCGTCACATCACGCAACGGCCGCCGAACTGGGGCGGGCTCTACATGGGCTTTTCTCGGCCCGAAATGGCTGAAACGGCCTGGACTATGGCCCCATTTAGTTTCGAAAGTTTTTGGTTTTTAGTGTAGCACTTTCGTTTTTATTTGGCAAAAATTGTCCAATTATAGACTATTTAGGCTTAAAAGATTTGTCTCATGATTTCTCGGCTAACTGTATAATTAGTTTTTTTTGTCTACATTTAGTACTCTATGCATGTACCGTAAGATTTGATGTGATGGGAAATCTTGAAAATTTTTGGTTTTTGGCTTGGAACTAAACGGGGCCTATATATAGCCTGTTCGCGTACGCTCCCTCAAGAAGACAAAGAAATGATTTCTCTGTCCTCAAAAAAAAAGAAATGATTTCTCAAAAAAAGAAAACAAAGAAATGAAGAATACCTTTATCAAAAAAAAAAGAAATGAAGAACACCAATCCTCTCAAAAAAAAACCCTACTCGTGTGCCCTACTTCCCTCCTAAAAAGAAAAAGACATGTTGAGATTCCCCTCTTTTCTAGAAGGACATGTTGGGATTCCCTTCCTTCGAAAAAGACACGTTGAGATTCTATAGTCTAAAGTTTAGTTGACCTACTTAAGGGGTGTTTGGTTTCACCTCCTAAAATTTAGTCGCTGTCCCATCAGATGTTTGACACATGCATAGAGTATTAAATATAGTATAATTACGAAACTAAATACACAGATTGAGATTAATTTACGAGACAAATTTTTAAGCCTAATTAGTCCATGATTTGACAATATGGTGCTACTGTAAACATATGTTAATGACGGATTAATTAGGCTTAATAAATTCGTCTCGCGGATTACTGACGGATTCTGTAATTTGTTTTTTATTAGTATCCAAACACCCCATGCGACACCCCATGTGACATCTGATAAAACACATCTTAAACTTTAGTGCTGCATCTAAACACCCCCTTATATAGTCTAAGGAACTAATCGTTTCTTTTTGTAGAGGTTGACTAAATTCTAGATAGCACTTTAGATCACCTGTTTAGATTTAGAAAGACTAAAGTGGTCGCTTAGTGGCTAAAAAACCATGAAATCTAAACAGGACTAAAGAATATCATTCTCAACAAAAGTAGTCAATCGATCTTAACTTTAACTAAATATATAAAAATATTAATATCAATGTTTGTAATGTGTGATGAGTATTATTAGATTGAATAATGAACCATATTTTTATAATTAATATATTTTGACATACAAATGATGACATTGTTTTCTATAAATCTAGTTAAAATTAAGAAAGTTTGACATACCCCAAATATAAGATGAAATTTCTTTAACAGAGGAAGTATTTTTAAATTAAAAAACCCAAAAGAAAATATGACCACATTTGAAAAGATTACCAGCCGACTAGGGTGCCAAGCCGGCATAAGTTATACAGAGATTTCATCCAAAACTTGAAACCAAAGCTTCATGGCAGGTTTCGCGGAGGCTCCAGGGCAACTTTTCAACACCACAAGGTGCCAATCAGAACTTCAACAGCCCCCAGATACCACCAAACTAAACACTACCTAAGAGCATCTCCAACAGTAGAAGAAAATTCTAACCTCAAAAACTAGTTATTGGGAAAGATAAAAAAAAAGTGTTTTGGAATTTTGATGGTCTCCTCTCTAGCGGAATGCGAAAATCCATCCCCAATGAGAAAAAAAACAGTAGATTGGAGAAGGCTATGATATGATGGACTGAGAAAAAAATTTCGTTAGGGTTGGGTTTGGAAAACTGTTGGAGCTACAAACTCTCCAAACTGACAGTTTTTTCTCATTTAGGGTTAGAAAAGGGAGACCGTTGGAGATGCTTTAAAGAAAACAAAGCAAAAGCATGAAGCGCAGAGGAATTCCAATCTTTCATCTACAAAAGTCTATATTATATCAGAAACTAATAAACCAATCAGTACTTGATTACTGCTAACTTATATGTTCTGCGACTCTTGCAGTCTACACGATCGCGAACAAGGTGCTAGAACAAATGTGACATTGTACATAACTACAAGAACAATATGTTCCTCATGTTTCACCAAAGCTGAAGCCAACAAATGTTCCCATTGCGCACACATGAATAGACATCAGAAGACAACTCCTGAGCAACTGACTACATCCAGACATCCACGAACGAGGCGGACTTGCAGAAGTCAACATGAAGCTGAACCTATATGGTCAGAACTGATTCTGCCTTATCTGGGGCCGGAATCAGTCGCTCTCCTTTTCAGCAGCTGCAAGTGTACAGAAGGGTTAGTTAGGAAAGGGCATACAAAGATTATATTACTTCGCGCACCGGATGGCTGGCCCACCAAAGTGACCAGCAGGAAATGCAATCGATGAGTATTGAGTACTGAACCATATGATGATAGATATATGAAGAAAAAATCATACGTTGAACATCGAGCCCACTTGGACTGCTAACTGCTGCAGTCGTATTGAGTAAAGTGTTCATGTAAAAAAGCAACAAATAGTTGCAAACCAGCATGTTTAGAGGCATTGTGGCACACAAGCTACAAAAGCATATGCTGAATATATACTATGAATCCATGACAACCAATTGAACATTAGGATGGAAATTCTTAACCTCCTGGCCACTGTCAGAACATAGATATGAAATCCTTAACAAAATAGACCTATATACATCAAACTCACTAAATTTTTGTGATAAAAAGCTAATATGTGGCTCTTTCAAATTCCTCCATCCCAAAAATTGACTCCTCCAAAAGCTACCAGATTTTTTCTGTGAAGTGCCTCTAAGGAAACAGCCTTTCAGGATTTTTCACAGTACCATCTACTAAAGGGATTAAGTTCTTGTTTTCGGAGAACACATCAACCATGTATGCAGATACTACCAAGGCTCAGTTTCAAGCATTTCATCCCTATGGAAGAAAGGCAACGGAGGCATGCTTCAGTGCATATTGTATTAGGCATACCGGTTTTTCCTTCAGGAGATTAATATATCAGAGTTACATGTCAAACCAAGCCAAGTGCTAGTGTGGAGCACAGAAAATCTGTCTGCTGGCAAGAATGAAAAACTGGCCCATCTGGTGATGAAAGACCTTTGTGTTTGTTACTATGTCAATCCATATTCATGATCCAAACTTGTACAGAGATATAATGGTGCTTTCACACAAAAAAAAGGATTGGAGCAGTAAGATGGTCCCTAAGATTCTTGCAGAACTGTTGAAATAAATGTCAAAATGCTAGCATAAGTTTTGTTTTAGATGAGCGTGTGGCTCAGAGCACCCAGTAAAGGAGCCACCCACCCAGGGCTGAAACCTTGGTGCTGCATGTGTGCCCACTTCCCTGTGCAATGCTGGTGAAGTTCCCTTCTAAAAGCTAAGTCAGGGGTGACGTGCTTCCTCCCTGATTATTTTTTTTATAAATACCTTTTTTTTGGTAAGTTTGGTGTGTTCAACAGGGTCAGTCCAAGGGAAACTCCTTCCTAATGGTAGCTGGGGCTGAACTGAACTATAGCATTATAGCAATTTCGAAGAAATCCAGCATATCTTAAAACACCACTTATATCAACGTTAAAGAAATTGTAATCTGCTGAAAGCAAATCAAGGAACAGATAGCTGAATCATACCATCAGCAGAACCATCACCAGCTTCGGCAGTTTCATTATTGTCTTCATCTCCACCTTTTACATTCTCTTCATCAACTTCATCATTGTCTTCATCTCCACCTTTTACATTCTCCTCATCAACTTCATCATTGTCTTCATCTCCACCTTTTACATTCTCCTCATCAACTTCATCATCGTCTTCTGCATCATCATCATCATCATCTTCTTCATCATCACTATCCTCTTCTATTTTAGGCAGTGGCGGCAGGGGTATGAAACTTGATGTACTTCTCCGACGAGAACTAGTAATAATATTACTCATGTCTATGCCCTCAAGTTCCTTTGCTCTTTCTTTTCTCTTCTTCACTGCTTTAATTTCTGCCCATAACATTAATAAAGAATGTTAGAGAAAGAGATATATTAGTCCAACACAGTTGGCTGGCTGAAATCTAGCTGATGCTGATTTGTTGTGAGAGAAAAACACTGTTCCTTCGCTGAAAAAGTATTGCTGATAAGTTCAAGCGAACAGGTTCCTTACACTGTAGTATCAAAAGTTTGAGAGCAACATAAAGGTTACTTCTATCAGTAAATCATGCTCAATTAAACAAAAGGGGGGGTAGCTTCCCTAGATAATCTTTACTAGAGTGGTTTGGGCGCCGAGGTGGTGACGAGGCCCTTCCATCCATGGGGCCACTTCTTGCTTTTGGCGGGTGGCCGAAATTCATGGTTTGTGCTCGCAGAGGCGAAGTCGGAGCTGCTCGTTGCTGGGCGCGACGATGCTTGGCAACAATAACGCGCTGTTTGGTGTGGCTAGGTGTGTTGGTGGTTGGTGCTAGTCATGTGCAGGAGGTGGTGACTTGGTAGCTTTGGCTGAGGTCCACCGTGTGAAGTCGGAGCTGCTTGGATGCTATTGTGATGAAGCTTGGCAACGATGGCACATGGTGGGCTCCATTGTGTTGTTTCAGGTGTGTCATGTGGGCAGTTGTGTTTAGGTTTTTGCTGGTTTTCCTTAATTAACCGTGCAGTTGTATGGGTTTTGGGCCCAGTTTACCTTATAAACCGGGTCAGTTTTTTCTTCTTAAGTGAATTGCAGGAGCTCCCTGCCCTTTTCGGAGGTTCTTCGAAAAATAATCTTTACTAGAGTCAACAAGAAAACACACCTTTTTCAGAAGGATTTTTTGACAATCCTTCCTTTTCAAGTATATCCTGTAACTCCTTTATCAAACAGGCCTCACGTTTGTTCTCAGGAGCTTGCTTGACCCTCCGATACACAGTAGGTGGAATTCTGAATTAAAGGAAACATACATTAGTCAAGTTATCATTCTACAAATTCATAATTGCATATGGTAAATCAAGTTGAGGTAGTACGTCATTCCACACGACTTGATTATCGATTTCAGATGCTCCACTTGTTTCCCATAAGCTGGAGTCTGTTGCCGTTTTCTCTGCACACCAAAACATCAGGATATATGAGTAAGGCATACAAGGAATTAAGTGTCCCGAGTGTTCAATCTGAAAACCTTGTTATCTTCCTCAACGGATGAATGGGAATTATCCTCTTCTGCTGAGTTGCCACCCTTTTCTTCAGTACGTCTATCTGAATCTTGTTTTGCAACCTTTTTAGCCTTTGGGGTTGAGAGTTTCTTCTCATTTGTAACTATTTTCTGCTTTTTGACGACTTTAGCCTTTTCTGCTCTTTTCTTTCTTGGCCTTGAATCCTCGTCACTGTCTTCCAGCTCACTCTTGCTATCATTTAATTCAGACCTATCCGATTCTTCACGGACTCTTTTAGAGCCTTTATTACTTGTTTGGTCAGTATCCTTGGAAGATCCCTTTTTACTTTTTTTCTTTGTCCCATTTGCAGGTTCTTGCAAAATCTGCTACCAAGATAAAGAAAAGCAACATAACCCATTAACAAATTAATCATGCAAAAAAGAAGTTAAAGCATACATTTAAAGAAATAGTACATGTTACACATGCATGTAGTAAACTGACCTTGTCTAATTCTGTAGTAATGAAGTTCTTATAGGCATCCAAAGCTTTCTTCTGAAGCTTGAGATCTTCTTCCAAAGTACGTCGAACTCCTTGTAAAGTAAGAGTACTGCATTTATTTCATTTTGTGAATACACGCTGAATAGCGAAATGCACAAAAGGCAGGTAAAAAGGACATTGAGTATCAAAAAGGGACAATGGATATGCACAAAAACATCATAATATGCTCTTGTCTGTTTCAGCAGCAGTATTTTTGTAGTCCAGTGTTAGAGGAGTCAAGGGCCTATTGGGCCTTAGCCCATTAAGGTTAATTAGTCGCTTGCTTAGGGGCCAAGTCAGACCTCTCTATATAATGAGAGGAGATGTATCAATCTAGAATCAAGCAAGAGATTAGAAAGAAATCCCTTCTCTCTTGCCGGCCGTGGGCGAAGCCCCGCGGCCAGCCTCCCCCAGCGCCCTTGCAGCCCTAGCCGCCGCCGATGCGAACAGTACCGCGGACACTGTAGCTCCACGGTACTGTAGCCCGCCATCTCATCTCCACGCAACTGTAGCGCTGCGGGTGCTGTAGCACACACATCGCCGCCACTTCCCTCAACTCGCTCCTCTCGATCCCAACAACCCCAACGCCATCCATAACAATCTGGTATTAGAGATCTCTGGTTCGATCATGTGGTTCGATCATGTCCACCCGCTGACCTCGCTGCCGATGGCCGCGGGGGCGTCTCCCTCCGCCATGGGCGTCATGTCGAACGCAGAATTGACGGCCGCGGTGCTCGACCTCGGCAAGATGGTGGCCGGGATTCATGCGTTTCTTTTGGGACCGCAAGGACCGCAGCCGAACCCACCGCCGCCGCTCACGCAGCAGCAACTGCCGCCGCCGCCCACGCAGCAGCAACTGCCGCCGCGGGACAGCGATGGTGTCTTCTACAGGGGCGTGGATGGCATCCAAGCATCGGCAGCGCAGCTGCAGGCAGTGGCGCATTGCCTCCTAGCGCGCTGGCAGGGGCGACAACACCCCATCTTCAAGCGGTGCGGCCAGTCGTCCCTACAGCAGCAGCCTTGCAGCTCACGGAGAGGAAGGAGATTGCGCGGGCAAGTGCCTGCCAGGTGTTTGCGGCGGTGCGGCTGCAGGCTGCGGCGCGTGGCCTCCTAGCGCGCCGGCGGCTGCAGAAGATGCGCTCACCTATGCACGAGGCGACCTTGGCGGCGGTCGACCTCAGCATAGGGGAGCGCGACCTAGCATGGTCGGTCGACCTCGCCTGGTCGGACGGCCACCAGCAACCACGCCAACCTGCTGTTGTCTTCAGGCGCAAGCATGGTGTTTTTTCCGTGGGCGGCGAACTCCAACTCTGCGGCACCGGCGATATGGGAGCAGCTTTCCTCCTTGTCACCGGTGGGGATGCACTGCCTAGCGCCATCGCATTCCGCCATTCGCCATTCCGAGCACGCGTCTCCGGCTGTTGTCATAATTCTAGGTGGCCATACGTCTCTCGTTCCGATGGTCTCCATGGGATCCACTAATTCTAGGTGGCCATACCCGGTGCCCCCTCTTCCGATGGTCTCCATGGGATCCAAGATGTAAAAGGCTTACACAGGTTTGTGTCCAGTGGAGGCATCGTTAGTGTCATCAGTAGATGCCCGAGGACGAGTATGTCTAGGTGGAGTCAAAAGGAGTAAAGAGCTTATTGAGCCTTGGCCCATTAGTCTTCTTTAGGGGCAATAAAATAAGCCAAGATGAGAAAGGCTTCATTTTTCAAGCAAGTGATTAGGAAATTTGTGTTGCCTAGTGGAGGCCTCCCCATCGTTAGTGTCATCGCCAGATTGCATGACACCTCAGAGCTCCACGATCCCACCAGAAGCGCAGCTGCATGTCACACATGCCGCCACACTTCCCTCAACTCGCCTCTCTCGATCCCAACAACCCCAACGCCATCCATTAATCTGAGGAGATCTCTAGTTCCTCATGTGGTTCGCCTTGTCCCCATTACCTCACGCAATTATGTCGCTCTCTTAGGGGCCAAGTCGACCTTTCTATATAATGAGATGGTGGCCGATTCATCAGTTCTTTGGGATCAAGCAAGAGATTAGAAGGAAATCCTTCTCTATTGCCGCCGCCCAAGAAAGAATCGCCGCCATGGGACAGCGATGGTGTCTTCTATGGCGTGGATGGCATCAGCCCTCTAAGGCTACCGCAAGCCTCCCCAGCCTCTAGCCCTAGCGCGACAACACCCCATCTTCAAGCGGTGGCGGCCGTCGTCACAAAGAAGAAAGCCTTGCAGCTCACGGAGAGGAAGGAGATTGCGCGGGCAAGTGCTGTGTGTTTACAGTACCATGGTACTGTAGCTCCACGGTACTGCGCCACCTATGCACACCCTCTTGGCGGTCCCCTCATCCCAACTGCGCGCTAGCTGGTCGGTCGACCTGCCTGGTCTGAGAGCACACAACCCTCTCATCTCCATCCCAACTTCCCTCAACTCGCCGCCACTTCCCTCAACTCGCTCCTCTCGATCCCAACAACCCCAACGCCATCCATAACATCCAGAATGCAGTGTCCAAACCAAAATGAGTAAAACATAACACGAAACAAGTAAATATGTTCTAGGGAAACAATATTCCTAGAACAAAACAAGATAAACCCAAAATCTATCCTAATAATACCCTATATTAAGGAGGATATGCAACTTGAAAATACTCTGACCACTAAATATTGGCAGTTCTCTACTTCTCATTGCCTCCAAGATGCAAAATTGATCATTAATTTCTCCATCGTACTAGAGGAATATAGCATAATGGAAGTACTTTCGATGGTGTATCTGTTAATGTCATTTTCTTGTCCCCATGTCTCATATATATATTAATGTGCAAAGGTTGAGAAGTTCAATAAACCAACACATGGCAACCATTGATGTAATGTAAGCATGAACTTGTGATAATTATACATGCAATGAGAAGTTGAGAACACATACTCAGAGTTCTTTCTAAAATAAGATGCCCTTTTTTCAATGGCTTCTTTTATCATGTCTTCACTAATATCACTGCTGGAAGTTTGATCCTTTTCTCCTTCAGGATCCTTTCCTGTCTTGCTGGATGTTACGACATCAGCATTGGAGGACGTTTTGTTTGAAACAGGCATTGGTTTAGCAATATCTGTCCCTTCTTTGGATAAATGATCATCTTTAGCTTCAAGATCGTCTGATGCATTATCATTTGCATTTTCGTCATCAGATTCAGCAAAAACCTGGTATAATACTTGGCCAAGAAAGAAGAATGAGCAGAAGTTAGCTAACACAGAAAGCAATTCTGAAAAAGGAAGAAAAAAGATTGACTGGATCTACCAAAACACAAGGTAATATGTTCCAGCTGGGAATAAAAGTTGCACATAATATCAGATATTCAGATGTAATGAATTTCCAGATTAGAAACCAAGGGAACAAATTATCTATACAAGCAAAACTGCCACTATTTCAGATACAGATATATCAAGAGAACCTTAGCCCTAGTTTATATAAAGCAATATCATGAATTTTCAAAACTCCTTTGTACTGAATTTTAAATGTAAAACAAGAATCTGACATTTAAGATAATAAAATATCATTAGATGTTTAATAAATAGAACCACTATCCATCACCTTCCCTTACTTTTGAATTTACTGTGCAGAGCATAATGTCTGGGCAGTGAGCACCATCCTATGCATATTCGTAGGTAATGGTCTGTTGCATATTTATAAAACGAAAATAGATGGGTTTAATATATTTTGCATTTTTTGTTAGCAGTACTGCAGTAGGATAAATAACCAAAACACTTTGTGCATGTTCATGATTAGTTAGGACTTAGGATAAACATTGTCAATAACAGGGGGTAGTAAACTATATTATCTACCTCTAAATTCATCTGGCTCCATGCAGAAGCTATACAAAAAAATTAAAAACTTGATAGATTGAATATTTGTGTACAAGCCCCCAACAAATTTTGTCAGCATAGTTTTATCTTTGTTTTTTCCAAAAGAATGAATATTTTCATCTTGTTAGCAACAGAATTTGATAAATCTGTAGAACTAACCAGTATGCACAGTGCACAATTCTAGTTTCTCCCCCTTTTTAAAAAAGAGGAAACCCAAATAAAGAGTATGAAAAGTTGTATGTGTAGAAGAACCATCGCAACACTTTTAAAATGATAGTTCCGTAAACCACTGAACGTACCTTGTCTACACATTGCTTTATGAACTTTTTATGTGCATCAAGTGAATACATATCCAAACCCAGGTCCTTTTCCAGTGCTCTCCTAACGCCTTCAAGGGTCAAGGAGCTGAAAAAGAAAATCTCTTGTGTAAGTGTAACATTCATCTTGCTAAAGCTGAAAAAGTTCAAAGACATCTTTCTCTACATTGAAATTCACCTCTAGTACAAAATCAACATTAAGCCATCAGATTAACCTAAAATAAATATTAACCATCAGATCTGATCGACATAACAGGTTTGTAAGTATACACCTCTGGGTTAAGATAGTGGAAGCTTTTAAATCGCACATCCTGCTATGAAAACTTGAAAAGGCACCCATTCGGCCTTTTCACAAAAAAGTTATGTTTTTATAGCACCTTTTTATAATTTGCTTTGGTTAGAACAATCAAATTATTAAAAAACTGTATATACCGTGAAAAGACACCTTTAACGAAAGGCATGTTTCCACATATGACACTTTTTTATATATATAAATACTTACGATTTGTTCAAAGATGGTATAAAAAATTCAAGTAATCCTCCCACAGTAAAACATTGGCAATGAGCTAGTTGTAAAGAAAGAAGAATATGATAACAGCCTCTGCTTATTCTTGCATAGATTCACATAGGAGCAGCACAGTTTCACATAGGATACAGCATGGCCAACAGGCCAAGCACTCAACAAGACACCAAGCAATTATCATTTCACACAAAACAACAACGGCCTCTGTTTTAGAAGGCAGTGCCTAGGTGCTAGTACCTACGCATTGTTCTTCCTAAAGCAATTTAAGACTTCACCTGTGTATGAAAGTTTGACTAATTGTAGATCGAAAGATAAACTATGGTCACGGAATTCATGAACGCATGTTACATGTCAATAATCTTGCATAACACCTAGGAACTAGGTGGAGCCTGACCACCTACCTAGAGCCTAGCACTTTTCGAAAAACTGCTAACGCTTATACAGTGAAGTAATTGGCTCACTGTGAACCGAAACCAAGATGCGGAATTTGGGGATAAAATGGTAGAAATCAACGTGAATTGAAGACAGAGGGTGAAAAAAATCTGAACTCATGTTCTACTGGAAAACAGGATAACTTCTCAATCACGGTCTTATACATAAGCACAGCTTAAAAGGGGCAGTAAACAAGTTAAACCACCGAAACGACAAAATAAAGGAGACAATGAATTGGAAGAATAACAACAAAAAAAGAAAACGGTTTCGCGCCACAGCAAACCGACCCACCATCTGACTGCCATCAGATCACGAAACAATCCGATAAGAAGATATCTCCGCCGTCTAAGTGTTCCTTACAGATTCAGTTGCCTCTTGTCTTGACAGTTAACATCCCGAATTTCCATTTCCCCCTAACCTCTAAAACCCTAGGAGCTGCCAGCTGCGGCTGAGACCTGCACCACCCGTTCTGAAGACCATGGTTCAGGACTCGTCATCGCCGCTTGCCTTCATCTCCTACCAGGAAAGCAAAAGTAGAAACCCTACCCAATCCCGCCCCACTAGGCCAAAACCCTCCCCGCCTCCCGCAGTGCACGACCGACCCTCCGCAGCAAGCAACGGCAGCCCAACCGAGACCCCGAGAAGCGCCCCAATTCCAGACGCCCGCAGCAGCCGCAGCCACACACCTGAACCTTAGAGCGCGGAAAACCCTAGACGAGGGGCAGGACGGCCACACCAGCCCGAGGAGTTGGAGGAAGGGGGAGAGTGTGCTCACTCGGCCTGCTTCTTGAAGTCTGCGACGCGGGCGCGCATGGCCTTCTCGATCTCCGCCTCCCTCTCCCGCGCCGCCACGGCGGCGGCGACGTCGGCGCCCATGAGGTGCCGGTGTCGGGCGTCGCTGCCGCAGCTGGGCCCCGTCGCTCCTCGTGGTCGCCTCCGTCTGCTACTGATGCCGTTTTCAGTCTCGGCGCAGAAGAAACACGCGAACAGCTGGTGGAACTGGGTGATCTTGAGGGACTGGCGGTCACGTTGGGCCGGGCCGGACGACTCAAATGGGTCTGGGCTGAGCCGGACCGGGCGGTCACACATCGCGCTGGGATTGGTGGCCCAGTTGGTTTTTGCTTCTCCCCAGCGCCCACCCGGCTTACATACCTAGGCCTAGCCTTGCAGGTTAATTACAACAACTTGCCACTCAATATATTCCGCGAGCAGCGAAGCCTCCCCGGCTCCCCCCACCTCATCTGCCCCTCGCGTGCGGCGGCGGCGACTCCACCTGACCTGGCCAGCGTCCTCCCGCTTTCCAGCCAGCAAGCCAGACTCCGCCCCTCTCCGATCGTCCGGTCTCGGCCAGATCCGGGCGGTCCGGGCTGCGCGGAGGCTCTAGATCGCGTGGCACGCGAGCGATGCCGCGCGACCTGTCGCGGTCGCGGTCTCGGTCTCCGCCGCGTCGGCGCCGGCGGTCGCCGTCCCCCGCGCGGTACCGCGGCCGGAGGGGGCGCAGATACCGAAGCCCCAGCCCCATCCGTAGCAGGTCCCCCTATCGCCCCTCGTATAGGTGACCAACACATCTCCCGTCACACGCCACAGAAATATGGCAGTCTTCGTTTTATTTTATTTTTGGGTTTGTACTGTAAAAAAGAAATTGAGGCGATGCTGATCGCCTTCATTGAAATTTTGTACTATAGCTTGTTTGATGGAAATGGGGCTTGATGCTCTATTTATGATTATTTGATCTATCAACTGTTTGTTGGTGTGACCGTTAGAGGTAGCTAGCGTGGTAGTATACTGTGCTATATCATAATTGAATCCCTTGAATTAACTATGATTTTTGAATGTGCAAATCTTATAATACTTCGGAACGATCTGAGATTTCTGATTTCCAAGGGGAAAAAATGCTTCGGATTCTGTTGCATTACAGAGTTAAAATAAAAAATACTTCGATGCGGCATGGAATATATCAGCAGATGAAGCTTAGATATAGTTATGCCATGTTTTGCATTACTTGCCTGTACAGACTAACAAGAGTTGCTTTCGTAAAACGCATGGAATCTACAAAGATTTTACTCTGTGCTGTATTGCTGTGGAATGCTCCACCCCTGTAACAGTGTCTAAGGTAACTGCTTTTGCCCATGTTTTAGGGCTTCAGGAGCTAATGGTAATTTCTTGTCTATTACTGTGATGCTCCTGATTTTATCCTTACAGTGCTCAACTTTGTACTGCAGAAGGAGGAGCCCTTCGCCTTCCCCAAGAAGGTGCAAGAGCCGTTCTCTGTCTCCTAGGAGGCGCAAGAGTCCATCTCCATCACAAAAGCGTTACAGAAGAAAGAGAAGTCCGAGTGTCACTAGCTCTCCAGTCGCTGCATCTCAAAGTTCCCACCTTGGGTTGGCAGAGAATAAGAATGCTATTGATACGCAAAGGCTAGAAGAAGAAAAGAAAAGGTGGGAAGTATCTGCTTTGCTATGTAGTCTACATTATTTCTTCTACAGACCCAACTATTTACTGTTGCACCCTTTCCGTAACTCTTCTATGATCTAACAATGAAATTGTACTAATTTAGTTGCTGTTTGCACCGGAATGTATCACAAGGTCAGCTCTATTTGACAATCCATTGTCCATCTGTTTTCCAGAGTACATATGTGCAATATTATTTATTTATTTTTGGATTTTGCAATTACTACTTCAAACATAAATACGACTTGAGAATGTGACTGCTGGATGTGAATCACTTAGGTTATATGAGACGATTGTGGCTTAAGGTGCAAGCTTAAATTCGGTAGGAGCTTCTGTATTCCTTGAAATTGTGGCTTTAGGTATAGGTACCCCAAAAAGAATAATCTATGATTAACAGTGCAACATGACTTTCATGTAAAAAATGGCTGGGATGTAACAAATTTCTCTTTAATTTTCTGTCTACAAATTTAAATTATCTCTGAGCAAAATGGTATTATTTTTCCGTTGTGGTATCTACTAAGAAATGTAAGGCCCTTTTTACTGCCTACCTTGAACGCTTTTCAAAGGTACCTTTGTAGGTTGTTTTGGACTAGAATTATAGTTTGTTGAATTAACATCTGTGATGTAACACTTGTTCCAGAAGTTGCAATTCAAAACATTTATATTCTTGCTGGAAATTAGCTTTGAACTCGCCATTTAACAGAGACCTTGCCTCAGTAGAATTTGATGAAAGAAATAAAAGAAGCGTATGCGTGAAATATTATGAGTACCATTTCATAATTTTTGCAGCAATTTGTATTAACTATTGCACATCCCATAAACCATTTAAATTTTTTTGTATTAAAAATCATGAATGCTACTTGAGGATGTGTGCCATCAGAAGGGTTTTTTGGCCTAAACACAAAGTTACAGAAAAATGATGCATGATTTGTATTGACTTTATTTGAGCAGAGACATAAGCTATTGCCAGGATTATAACAAAAACTAGACCAACTTAGTAGGAACTAGGTGGCATTTTATTAAGAAGAAAATAGGCACCCAAATTTGCCTTGACGAGGACTAGAACCTAGGTGGTTTGGGCTGGGCATACATCCGCATGCTCTACCAACTGAGATAGCTCAGCTTCCTTAACAGTGAGCATACAACCAGGATGGTCTGGGCATACAGCCAGGATTATGTCATATATGTTGGTTGGAATTATATATTATGATTACAACTGTTCTGTTATTTTTGTTGCTTTTGCGTGTAGGCTAACTATTTTGGCACAGATGTTATGTCTTCAGTTGTGTTTCAGGACTAAAATTTCTTTAGTATTAGTTCATTATTTAGTTAGGCAACGTATCAGGTGCAAACCAACCAATCTGTGCAAACTTGGAAACAACCAATCAGGACCATTAGATGCTGATTCAATAGATGGGGTGAGAGGTGAGATTATTTTTTGCTTAAGCGCCCCACCCGCCAGACTTTTTTTTTTTTGCTTAAGCCCCCTCACCCCATCCATTGGATCAGCATCTAGTGGCCTTGATTGATAGTTTCCAAGTTTGCACCTGATATGTTGCCATTTAGTTAGTGCCATTTTTTCCGCTTCACTTGCTGTGTGTTGGACTTCTCTGTAAGGACGGTATCATATTAGCCAGGCAGTAGTATGACAGATGGAGGATGTCTGAGAGTTAGTTTGACCTCTGCGCTGTAATGTTATCTTTAGAAGGTAAGGAAACCAAGAGGGCTGAATTTCAATTATATACCATGGTGTCGTTGAAATTCACCTTTCTTGTGCTCTAAATATGTAATAGAGTGATTTTAGTTTGTTTCTGAATGCAGTTCTGCTGCATACTTGAAAAAAAGAAGCTTATTTCTGATCCTTTTTGAGTCATGCCATGTGGTATGAGATAACCTGTCAGGATAAATTGTCCAAAAATCATTCCTGCCATACCACTAATTAGTAGTAGGTAGTTTATTCTATAATTTCATTGAACCTTGAAAACTGATTTTGGCTGCATGCAAGAATATGGTTTAGTTGGAATATTGAAATGCTTCATGATGATTAGCTTTAAACCTGCCACAAATTACTTGACATTCTTCTCTACAGGCTTTTACGAAGGAAGCTACTGCTATAGTTCCACTTGTTATATTTGATGATGCAATTGGTGATCCTTTATCTACTCTTGATCAGTTTTGATAATTCGTTTTTGGATCTGGAACACACTAGAGGTATGCCTAAAATGCATTAGCTTGTAGTCAAAACTATGCTGATGAAAGGCATAGTAGAGCATAGATAGTGTTTAGACTTTAAATCACGTGCTTTGCTTTTTGCTGCTTTTATGGCCTTGAAGAGTTTGAATTAAAAAAAATCGGCTTTGGTCACGCCTTGCCTCAGGTAGTACATTTCATTAACTTGCTATATCAACTGCAGGCGCCAAAAGGAAGTTGAACTGAGACTATTAGAGGAGGAGACGGCAAAAAGAGTTGAGCAAGCTATTAGGAAGAAGGTTGAGGAGAGTCTGAATTGTGATGAAATTAAGCATGAAATACAACGTCGAATTGAGGAAGGGCGAAAAAGGATACATGAGGAGGTAGCAATCCAGATTGAGAAAGAAAAGGAGGCAGCTTTAAATGAAGCCAAACTGAAAGTGGTAAGCTTCTGTTTTTCTCTCTGTTATTTGTCATCTGCAAATCTGGGGAAAAAATTAAGTCGTTTGGACACTTTGCTTTGATCAATAAATGGAACCTGGAAAATTCTTATTATGATCGTCATACTGAATAGGGTTCTTGGAACGTGATTCAAAGAACCAGCCAAGATAATTTGTTCACTGGAGTTTTGTGCCTGCAGGAAAGAGAAAAAAAGGAGCAGGAGGAGCTAGAGAAAAAGCTTGAAGAAGAACGAAAGAAAGCTGAAGAGGCGCTGATGAAAGAAGCGATGGAACAGCAGCAGAAAGAGCTAGAGCGGTATCAGGAGTTGGAGAGGCTTCAGAAAGAAAGAGAGGAGGCCATGAAGCGGAAAAATATGGAGGAAGAGCAGCAGAGGCAAAACCAGATGAAGCTGCTGGGCAAGAACAAGTCACGGCCTAAGCTGTCATTTGCTTTTGGGATGAAGTAGCGTTCGATCGCTTCTTTGTTGTGAGAGAAAAATACTATAGATTCTAGCTGATAAGCCGGCTGATAAGTTCATCTGCTCCTTGTTGTTCTGTTGACGCTACCTGGGGATACCAAGGAATCCGGTTGGTCCATAGGGACGTAGTCGATTGCCAGTACTTATCCCCTTGAAATTCAAAAGATTTCATGATGTGCGTGCTTCGTGGATATCTTGCATTTCACCAGGATACAGAGATCTTAAACCCTCACATTTTTCTCTTATTTCTTTGATACATTAGTTTCACCGAAAATTTTCTAAGCAAACTTTCGAAGTGCACGTTCTGTAATCACAGAGATATTGTTCGTTAAAAAGAGAAAGATAACGGTTGTACGAAATAATTTTAAACATGAACCCTATTTATTTATGCTTGTGTACATATCGATACACTAAGAGCATCTATGGTAGTTCTAAAAAATCATGGATGCAAAGTATTTTTGAAGTACTGAAGATATTTTGGTTTTTAAAAGCTATGGGAGGTTTGGATGCAACAAATCCTGTAGTGTTTAAAACCATGGTTTTGTTAAAATTGTAGTCTTTTTAGAGTTTTAGAAGCTCCACTCATGACCTATTTTTTAAACCACGGTTTTGTTTCTTTTTTGCTTATAAAACCACAAAAAACCGCATCATCAAAATAGGGCCTGAGTTGGTAAATCAATGAGTTTTTCAAGTGGCTAAAATAAGTTAGGAGTATATTTGTTCGGAAGAGTTTCAAAAATCTCGCTTCTAAAATAGAAGGCTATTTTGCACAGGAATCCCACACTATTTTCAAATCACGTCTACCACATTTAGGCCCTGTTTGGTTGGGCTTTTGGCTTTAGCTTTTGACCTCAAAAGCCAAAAAGCCAACCAAAGGGGCTGCTTTTGGAGGGTGTTTTTTCAGAAGCAGCTGCTTTTCTGTAGTTCATTTTTAAAAGTTGGGTTGACCCTGCTTTTGGCTTTTGGCTTTCTGCTTTTCGAAATTGGTGGAATCATAGTTGTTTCAAGAGAGATAAAGATAAAAGTTATATTTTATACTTGTTTAACCAAACAGCTTTCAGCTTTTCTACAGCTCACAGCCCACAGCAGCTTTTCCACAGCCCACACAGCTCAACCAAACAGGGCCTTATACTTTCTTTCTCTTGTACATTTACATCAAAAACTATGTCCTTCTGCTTACTTCTCTCCATACCCTTCCACCTCCAGATCGGACGACCGATAGGCGTGCACGGTTGGATCGATTTTCCCAAATATGAAAAGATTGGAGTTGAGATAGAAAATTATTGAAGATCGTCTTTTTCAATCTTGCCAAAAAAAAATTAAGATTGTGAGTGAGTTTTAGAAACTCTGGAGATGCTCGACCTCAATTGGTAGAGGTCCAGCTTCTCCATACATCGTAGCAAAAGCAATTGTTTTTATCTTGAAATAAACTAAGGCTCTGTTTGACACGGCTCCACTTCACTAGTGAAGCCGTTTTGGCGGGCTTTGGCTCCATGAATGGCTCTTTCGATAGAGTAGGAGCCATTTACAGCTCCTTACAGTGGAGAAAAGCGAATGAAAGATCAGAATTGCCCTCCTTTGTTTTCCAATCCTCATCTTCTTCCCTTTCCTTTGTTTTTCAATCCTTATCTTCTTCCCCAGTCTGTAATGAACATGAGGAAGTTGTATGCAACCACTCCGGCGATCTGCCTCCTCTGGACTCCGGTGGCCGCGTGCCCCATCAGCTGAGCGCCCTGGCGGAGCACGCGCTCCCCGTCCCCATGCCCGACGGCCAACGGCCTACACGCACTCACGCCCTTGTGCCCTCAATGTCATCCACGCATGCTCAGACTCCCGGCCGGCCGTCATGACCCGAAAGCAAGAGCTGATGGCCCGACGCCCAAGGCCTCGCGCCCGGCGCACACCCGTGGCCAGCGTGGTGGCCGTGGCGCCCTCTCCGCTGGGCGCCCAGCCTCTGCGCTACCACCCCCTGTCTCTCGATTGATGGCCCACGCCCTCCCCAGGCAGCCCCGCGCCATCCCCAACGGCCACGCCCCTCCCTGGCAGCTGCGCACGCCCGCGTGCCTTGTTAGGGGAGAACAAGTCTTTCTTCTTTCTGGTGTCCATATGAACGAGGTGAAGTCGGGTGAAGCCACTATTTTTTGGCTCCATCACTTTCCAAACCTGTGTGAGGACACAATTTAAGGGGCTTCACCAGTGGAGCCATTTTATTTTTACCCTGTTTGACAAAAAATGGCTCCTGAAGACGGTGGAGAAGCCCTATCAAACGGGGCCGAAGAGCCAATGAAGCTATATTTTTTTACTTTACTGGCTCTAGTTTATTTGCGCATGGTAGTGATAAGCCAAAACCGTTTGTACTCTAGATTTCATTTTATTGCATGGTAACACAAATTTGAATTGAAAGATATGGGTCATACTACATTTTTCAAACAGTTTGTACATTTTTAAACTTTAACCAATTATATATAAAAGAATATTAATATTTATAATACATAATTAGTACGGTTAGATAGATCGTTGAATATACTTTTATAATAAATTTATTTGGAGATATAAATGTTGCACGTATTTCATACAAACTTAGTCAAAGTTGAAAAAATTTGACCAGCATGCATCCAATAAACATCATTCTTTTTGGGATGGAGGGAGTATGTATCTAAACGTAGCGTATATTTAAGTGCATAGTGAAATATATGTATCCAAAAAATCAAAACGTCTTATAATTTAGAAGCGAGGAATATTATTCTCAAGTGAATTTTTCCTGAATAATTCATTTCCCAAATTGCAGAGGGAAATGCAGGTGGGTCGCGCTCCAACTCAGATTACGGGCTGGGGCTGGCAACCTCAGCAGCCAGCACGTGCAGGTATGATGAGAATTTTCGATCCTCAAGGGAGAGAGAAGAAAGGTTTTTACGGGATATTTAACTTTTTACCATCATAACGGATGGCGCCTCCTCAAATAGCAGCTTTAGGTTTGACGCTACGCTTTTAGCAACAGAGAAAGAGAAACGATACACATTTACCACTTTTGCTCGCGTGGCACGTCAGCTCTGCTATCCAGCTCAGATCCGAGTCAGCAGGCTCAGGTAAAAAGACCTCCCCTGCCCCTGGCATCTTTATCCTCCCCCGCGCGGCCCCCACCTAGAGCTATGCCCTAGTATGCAAGCCATCTAGAGCTGGACAAGCGAGGAGTAGGCTCCAAGATGGTCGGAGCTCCCGCATTACTTCCATCGGTTTAGATCTAGTTGGTGAGCTGAGTGGCTTCCTGCTGATCCCCTACCCGGACTGCGGCCTTGCTCGGGTGGTGGAGGGGAGGACGAAGAAAGAAGGCAAAAACCACGGTCGTCTGTACTTCAAGTGTGCGAGGAATGGGGTGAGTTCCCTATATACTCTGTTCCCCCTCATTAACATTTAGGGATCTAAATCTTGTTGATGCTGGTAGTTTCTCAAGCTTTGTGGGTAGTATCGATTTGAGAAGCAGTATTTTCAGCAGTTGAAGGATGATGGCATCATACAGGTTCGGCCCTCGAACTAGGCAGAGTTGCTGGAACAGGAAGAAGTTTCAGTTGTCAGTCCAAATGTTGACAAGAATGACCAAGATTTAGAGAAGAAGATGGAGTCATTGATCTGGAAGATGAACATGTTCTTTGTGTGTGTTGTATGTGTTGTATTAGGATCTGTACTGATGTATGGTGTAATAAAGTGACAATGTATGGATGAATGGAAATGCAAAATGTGCTTGAATGGAAATGAAATTTCTGATTGAATGTGTCTGTGTTCAGTGCTAGATTTTGGGCATATCAAAACATAGCAGTAGTACACAAACCATTAACCATAACTCATCATACAAAGTAACCAACTAGCATGAACCAAATAAGCTCAAACACAATGATTAGATGAAACACATTCATTATGTAAGGAAAATGGACCCTAGGTCCATTTACTTTGGATTTTGGTGTTTGATGACCAACACAACCAAATTGGACTAATGAATTTGCAAGTAATTGTTTTGTAGTTCAATAGGGTGCAAACGTGATTTGGACGAAGGCGACATGATGATCCCACGATCAACACCATAAGCAAGACCCTAGAAGCATAAGAGAAGACCCAAGATATCAAGCAAAGTCCAAGCATGAAGATGGAAACCACGCCGGACACAAGATCGCGAAGAAACGAGCTCGGCAGAGGTGACCGGACGTGGCCCTATGACGACCGGACGCGTCCGATTAGTTGCTCGGCAACATCAGGCGTTAGCAGCAGCGACCAGACGCTGAGCGAGGCAGTGACCGGATGCACAGACTTCACTGTTCATCGTCAATGGCAATGTTCTCAGCGTGGCCGGACGCGACGGCAGGACGACCAGACGCACCAAGAAGTAGCATCCGATCATGTCCAGAAAGGTTCTAGAGCGGCGCTAGTGCGACCAGACACGTCTGATCGAGTGAGACTGGACTCGGCCTAGAGTCCGATCAACGTGCGCGCTCCAACGGTCGGTAGGACCGGACGTGTCTGATTAGGATGTGATTAGCGTCCGGTCACTAGCAGAAAGTTGGGTCTCGGTTCCAACGACTAGTTCTCACATGTGGGGCTATAAATAGACCCCCAACCGGCCATTTGTGGTGTGGAGAGTTGAGGAAACATATCAAGGGTGTTGATACACTATTTTAGTAATCTCCACTTACGTAGTGCTTAGTGATACATTCGGTGATTAGCGTAGGTGCTTTGCGAAGTGCTTAGGTTAGTTAGACCACCGCTTATGCGCTTGCTCTAGGTTTAGACCTAGTGTTTAGTGAGGTTTGCACACCTCTTACCACTCGGTGCTTGTGCACACCATTGTTGTACATCAGAGGGGCTTGTAGTCTTGCGAGATCACATCAACCGCATTTGTGGTGTGGCCACCACCGTGTATCGAAGGGAACAAGACTCACGACGGTTTGGCCGAAAGCTTGATAGTGAAGATGGCGGGGAACGGTCAGGGAGAGGCTTGC